AAGAATTTGCCTGGACGACAGTTGCAAAATGACCGTGGAAATGCAGACTTTCCGCAGTATATTTGCTGTTGACCACTTTTGGCGACTAAGGGAGTAAGAAGATTGCGTCAGGGGCAAACTAGTTGCAGTCAGCAAAGATTATTTTACAGGATTAAAATTTGTCGCAGTATCGCGCTCCTGTGAGTAGACCGTACTAATAACGCAGGTTACTTGTAATTGTTACGGCTCTGATTATGACTGCTCTTGCCGGCCTCAATGATGCCACGGACGGTACCCCTCCACGCGTGACAATTGGCGGCAGCGGATCCGGAGGGCTCCACCCAGTCTCTTTTCCAGCGACGGAGACCGAAAATAGAAGGTCCAAGAACTGCTTCCATGTTTTGACGGACGGTGTCAAGCCGAGTCTCCAGTTGCCCTCCTCTTCGGGGCCTCCAGGTGGGCTGCAGCGCCGGATCGAGGGCAGCATACCAAAGCTCGTGGGGCGGACGACGTGAACGTGCCCAACCCACGTTATTTGCCTTTCTTGAAAGGCCTGAGATATCTTTGCGATACAGTCGCAGCAAGTGCGGACTGTCTCATTCGAGGTGAAGTCGCTATACTTAACTCACAGGCTGGTCCTCCGGCAGCAGTGATCAAAGGGTTACAGTTTTCTCTCATCGTCAGCGCGAAAAGCCCAGCATTCACATCCATAGAAGAGGACTGACCGGATGGATGTACGGTATACACGAATCTTCATGGCGATGTCACGTCGGATCCCTAGTCGCTTTCGAAGGATTTAGAAAAAACAGCGAGCAGCATTTATATGGCAGACAATGTCATCCTTGCTCTGCCCATTCGGTAGCAGCCTCACCTCGAGGTATTCAAAGCTGTCTATTTCTTCAAGTTGATGGTCATTAATCCCCAGGGGTGCCTTCTCCTGGTCAGGGCTTCCAGTTGATGGCCATTAATCCCCAGGGGTCTTTTCCTGGTCAGGGATGCAGCTCCAAGAATCACTTTCTTTTTCCGGGATTTATGGATATGCCAACCGACATAGCGATCTCATTTACCCGCGACACTTCAGACTGTAGGCCAGCAAAGCTTGAGGCTAGCAGCGAAATATCATCGGCGCAGTCGAGATCGGTCGGCAGGCGTCCGAGTGCAAGCTCAATACCGTCTTCCTCATGTAGGAAACCAGGTTTCGCCTGTAGAGTTTTAGGAGATCGAAACCAAATGGAGCATTGAATGCTCGGCAGGGAAGGACTGATGAAAAGACGGAGAACGACGAAAGACAGCGACAAGAATGACGAGCTAGGATTAAAAAATTGCGAAAAAAAGGCAAACGCGAGAGTCGTCGTGGCTCCTTCCACCTCCCACACCTCGCCACACATGAGTTCACGTGATTGCGGTTCTCGGCTTGCCTCTGAAACAACCGCAAACTCCGCACGAAGGCTTGCCACGCGCGGCTGCTAGTAGTTGCGCACATGCAGATCGATCCCAATCAGTCTGGCCAATCATCTTCAAGACCAATTTACACGGGACCTCACCTGCGATGAGTGCCTCGTTCAGACACTTCCGACGTGGCTCTCTTTCTCGAGTAGTTGTGGACTCGTACGAGTGTCAACTTTCTCTGTTCTTCACTACCTCTGCACAGAATCAACTATTCCTACCACTTGGCGTCTCATTTATTCTCCTCCGCTAGGGGACCAGGCCTGCAGATCACAGGGGCAAGGCTTTTCTCCAATAACTCAACCCACGACGGTAGAGTAAAAGAAGGAAATAATAAACAGTTGAGAAACGAGAAAAACAAAGTGAAAGCACACTTAATTTGTATATATAGATGTATAAGGACACCGGAAGGGATAGCCGCAAAATAGCCAATGCTTGACGAAAAAAATTGAAGGCACATTTTAAATTCTGAAAAATCAAAATTTGACATTATCCTTGTTTTTATCTTTTTGATTTGTTTGTTCTTCGGCAGTTTAAGTATAGGGAGTGGATAAACAACCGGTTTAATGTTCCGTTGTCGGCTGATACCGGGGACACGGTTATCCGGCCTGAAACTAGGTCAAACTTCTCTAGTAGAATGAGTCAAAACTACAGTCCCGAGGAACTTACTTTGAGGTGACGACTTTGGTAAATGCTCTATCGTTACCGGCATGACCTAGGATTTCAACAACAAATTTGTCGAAATGAAGATGCATCACAGGCTAAGAGTATAGTTAATTCCAACTAAATTATTATTTAAATGTTAAGCGCTCAAATGCCGGTAACATTTCCCAATGCTCCATGTTGGCCTTCCTTACAGCCGGGACAGTATCCAAATTGCAGGGGAAAAAGTTTCCACTTTTAATTTCACCTTAATTATTACCCTGCAATATTAGAAGGATGGCATAAAAAAGAGGACAGTAAAGGGAAGACGCGACGCAGAGATAAAATACACACGGCGGCAACTGAACGCTCTTTGAGTCGCTGTAGTACTCGGCTTTGGACCAAAGCTCATAGCACAGGACATAAACAAAGCGACCATGCACAAAGCAAAAAACAACCGGATGAAGCACGTTTATTAGAAAAATACTCTTAAAAAGGGCGGCAACAAAGACCGTGAGGGCAGTATACCGTTAGATCGTATCTACAGATAACAGCAGACCTATCAGGGAAAGAGCACTTATAGATTAGTTCATGCCTAGCCTTAGCCCAAAAGGAGAAACTAGGGGGAACTGTAGTGAAGTCGGGAATGTGGCCAATAGGGATGAGTGCTCTCTATGAAAAAAAAATTAATAATGTAAGAATTAGAACTGTGCCAGGAAAAGTATCTGATTAAGCCAGTTTTTAAGTAGGAAACTTATTAGAAGACTTGTTTTTATGTGTTGCACTAATTACAGATACACATTCTGGAAGGACATTTAGTTCTGCAATTAAGTTATGTTTTTAGAAAATCTTTTTCATCATCCCCTAAAGAAGACAAAGAAGAAGGCACGAGGACATGGGCCAAATTGTATTAAGATTGATGTTTCGGACACTCGCTCGTTTCCATCGTCAGAGTAACTAGGTGCCGCATGCCTGGTATGATATCCATGACCGACGCACAAACATCGACCTGCCTGTTCGCTGCTGGTTGACCGTGGGATTGACCGCTTATGGGCTGGTGTGACCTCTGCAGCTGTCGTAATTGTTGGCAAGTCAACCTCGTACCCCCTTCTTCGTCTTCTTTGGGTAATTGTGAAAACAATAAGATATCTGGACCTCGAATCTTCCCGCAAATTGATTTTTAGAAAAGCCTGTGGAGATGAGCACATGTGGAAGAACTATCCCGAGAACACACTGTCTCTACAGCAAGTTTCTAAACCTGCCGACGTCTGGTAGCGTGGATGGCCATCTAATTCTGAGAATGGCCGATCTGACGGTTGACTACGAACAGACTTAACGGCAGGGTGTTCTCTGATCATGTCAATGAAGCCTTCGAGTATAAGGACATCTATAGACACAAAATGGGCACCATAATTATACTGGAAAATGCTCCAATCCGTGACCCCAAAGAAGTTTAAATTTTATAAAGTTTGCAAGTTTTAGAAAACGGCCAAGCTCTCCGCATGCGGCCTCCAATCTATTTTAATCCTTTCAACAGTCAGGCTCTTAATCTTACGAAAATCTCTTTGCAATTATTGAAGACAATGGCACAAAGAGCCGAGGAAGTGTTTTCGGGCACAAAAAACCTGATGTCGTGCCAAATAATCACACTGAGCAAGGCACTATAGATAACGTGACTATCCTTTAGACTTTATACTGTTTTAAATGTAAGTGAACAATTATCCAAGTACCGATCTTTTGTGTTGTTGTCATCATTCTGCATTACTGCGACGTTTTCATGCGGCTCCATTTATTTAGCGCTCCCCTATATTTAGCCATTTTGGGTAATTTTTAATAGAACTGCCACTTAAATTTCGACTTTTTATTTTAAAAATAAACTAATTTTATGTTAATTAATACTAATTAATAAATAGAACTATTCCTTCGTTTAAAGAAAAGTAATTTTTACTGTTTTTAAACTATGAGGGAGACAACGAGGGTTGGTTTTACCTAGCAGGGGAATTTTCACGTGATATTCATAAGATCTTATGCGTTAGGCAATCCACTGTAAGTACTGCGAAGTTAACAGAAATCAGACTGGAATAAACAAGTCGCCCTTCCAAATGCGCTTCCTCATTACACAAAAGCACGGAGACAGCAGTCTGCAGATATTAAAACAAAAGGACTGCTTGTGTCTCTGTGTGGCTGATGATGGTCCAAGTTAGTAGAACACGCGATTCATCCATAAAGAACCCAAAAAATCGAACCTCCAGCAGTAAATCAAAGAGAAATCTCTACCACACGATAGTTCGTTCGTCGGGAGTGATGAGAGGCACCACTGCTCCAAGAGAGCAGAACTGAATTGAGCGTGATTTGGGCTAAACTAACATGGTTGATCAATTCATCTACGTCGACATCTCATGCAGCAGCGATCGCGTTCAAACGGCAAGTAAATGTCAAGGACATTAAAGTTAGTAGTAGACGAGGCAAGGTCGTGGAGTAAATTCGTGTAACAGGCCGACATGTGCGAAAGATTGATACTCTCTGGCTAATTGGCATTGAGTAAGGTTGGCATACTAATTATCATGTAGTCTATTCTGAAGTCATTTCAGTGACGATAGGATGCCAGCTTTTTAACAAGCTTTCTTCTGACAAAACTTATGTACTTTAAAAAGTGGCTAGTAAAGTAGTATGCATTTTTATTATTGATGGTGGCTGCCTTTATAATTTCAAATATATTTTATGGAAATCATACTTGAAAGAATATTTATTGCACCCGTTTGGTGGGGAATTACGCCTTCTTAAAATTGTACACTTACAGAAAGGGTATCTTCCGGTTTTAAAAGAGCTTCTAATTATGAGCTTTTTATGATTGTGAGGTGTTCATTCATTATACATCGTATCCCTCAATTTATTTATGCTGCCTAAAATTTTAACAGCATGATCCACATCTGTTGCAACAGTTTATGTGAACAATGTGACTTCTTCCTCAAACCGTAGACGAATATTTACTTTTCCTTAGACAGAATGTACACAGCGCGCAGTTTGTGAACCTTGAATTCAAGTGTAGCAGTCGGTAGGTTTTAAAATAATTTGGCAAATTAGAAACTTTTTAAAAACGGAAGATACCCTTTCTTTGAGTATATAATTTAAAGAAGGCGTAATTTGCTATCAAACGAATACAAGAAATAATTTTTCGTTTATGTTTTCGGCAATAGTAGTTTATGTAGTGCACCTCATTAATCCCTAGTCACAGGATTTTGTCCTACGAAAGCGGGGATTATAAGGCTCCATGTGTGGGGAATTGCGATATGCAGTGTAATATACTTTAATAACTGCTATATGCATTTTATTGTATTTAAAAATGACGTTGTTTTATATCTGTAGATTTTCTTAAGCTGTATTATCGTTTAAAGTTTTGCGGAAAAGCATGATTATCAAATTGTAGGTTTCTTCAAACTCCTGAAGAATAGAAATGGTGGTTAGGAGATCGTCTACTTCAACTTACCTGAGGTCCAACGTACCGTTCTGGAGTTTGATTAGTATAGTCCGCGTCGCGAAGCGCTGCGCACACCTTCAATTTACATGAGGAACAACTTACTCCCAGCGGCCACGGGAAATAACTTCGACTGCATTTTTTCATTTTACACTTATTTCTAAAAATTTTATTCACTGCCTATTCTATTTCCCCACTCCCAAGAACCCTACAACCACCGTTTTCGTAGGACGAAATGCTGGGACTAGGGGTATATGAGGCGTACTACAGAAACTACCTTTGGCATGTTTTCTATAAAATATATTCTAATTTATAAAGCCTGTCAAAATCAACGATACTACTTCAGTAGCCAAATTTTGAAGTACACACCTTTTTTAGCGGTCAGAATGAAGCTCGTTAAAAAGCCGGCATCGTATTGTGACTGAAATAACTTGAGAATAGACTACATGATAATCAGTGTTACAACCTTACTCAATGCTGATTAGGGAGAGAATATCAATCTTTCATATATGTCGGCATGTTACACGAATTCTGGGCCGTACTCTAGTTGTAGACGAAGGAAGGAGGTGGTGTATATTCCATATAAAATTGTCACATGTTAAGCAAACTTCACTACTTCAGAAACTTCGTTAATGAACGTTGCCTTCGGTATCAGAGTTGTTACAGTCCAGCC